CTTCCTCCTCCACCTCCTCCCTCCTCCTTCTCTCCCCCCCCCCCCCACCATCCCACAGAGGTTAACTATCTCTCTGATTCATCTCAAAGATATTATCAACGATGACGTCATTTCCTCCGTCTCTTCCTTGTTGCCATCTTCCTAACCTGTTTGTCTTTGCTTCTGTTTGGTTGTTTATCTTGATGTGCTTATCTTGTTTTTTTTTTTTTTTTTTTTTTATATTTATTATTTTTTTTGTTTTTTATTTTTTTATATATTCATGTTTTTTTCTTTGTTTTTTTTCTTGTTTATTCATTTTTGAAGTTTCTTTTATATAGATATTTATTATGTGTTTGTTGTTCATCTTTTGTTTTTTTTTTTTTTCTATTTCATTCAATATATTTTTTTATTTTGTTTGTTTTTATCTTTTCTTTCTTTTTCACATATTTTATTATGTTTTTGTTGTTTTGGTATTCCGAAAAATATGGGAATCTCTCTTTTTTATTTTATTCTCTTACATACATACGCATATTCGTACATACATGCATACAAATGTATATGTCTGTGTGTCAGTGTATGTATGTATGTATATTTGTGCATATGTATGTATGTATGCTGGTGAGGCTAAGTCTGTATGTATATATGTATGTATGTATGAAATCTCTCTTTGACTGTGTGTGTGTGTGTTTGCTTGTGTAGGTTAGCGTGTGTGTGTGTGTCAGGATTCATATTTGTATATATATATATATATATATATATATATATATATATATATATATATATATATATATATATATATATAATATAATATATATATAGTATATATAAAATATAGAGTAATATTATCAGAAAAAATACTGAGAATATTAGGAGAAAGAACGATATTCGAAGACGTAAACACAGATAAAACACGACACAAACACTTTTTAATCGATTTAGATACAAATTTTCCCAAAATCACCCACTTATTTTTTCCCTTTGAGAGGATACCTCCCCCTCCCCACCCCTCTCCCACCCCCACCCCGCCTCTGCACAGCTGGGTAATATCCATCACATTTCTATCATAAAAAAACAATAAAATTCACATCTGTAGATATAACGCAAAGAGAATCCGACCAGTGCAATATGTATTCCATGATATTATTAATTCACTCACGAGCTAGAATTTCTGTCGGCCATATTGTATTGATATTTCAAAAAGGATTAAAAACACGTGTTTTTTTTCTATCTTTTGGTGTAATTTTGTTTTTATTTATTTTCTTCGTCAATGGGTATGGTTTAGTTGTTATTATTATTATTGAGAAAACTGATATAATGATAATAACATAATGATAATGATAATGATAATAATAATAATGAAAATGATAATAACAATAATGATTATCATTACTGCTATTACTATTATTATTATCGGTATCATTCTGATCCTCATGATTATCATCTTTACTCTATTTATATGTTAACCTCTTTTACCATTAATTTCTTTTTTTTTCTGAAAATGAAAATATAGATCAGTCTCCCTTATAATATTTTTTTTACATTTTCTTTCATTTGCATTTTCTTTGTACTGCCATTTTTTCTTTAATTATTTATCTTTTCCCAATGGACCTTATTTATTATTGTCTTTTCTCCTCCTTTTCATTCTCTTTCTATCCGTTATTCCCTTCCTTTGTTTCGTTTTCGTGTCTCGAACAAAGTGAAAGTTTTAATTCAGATGTTATCGCTTTGACAATGAAGAACGCAAAAAAAAAAAAAAAAAATGAAAGTGTTTTTGTTTATATTACGTTTGTTTTTAACTTATTTTTTAGAAAAAAAAATGTCTGATGAAATGATGAAATGTGGCGTATTGAAGGTTTGTTTATGAAAATTTCAAAATATGTAAATTTGGTTCATAAAAAAATTATATTATCTGATGCATTAAATTCATTATTAATTATTTATTATTTATATCATTTTTATTTATATTATTATTATTACTATTTTATATAGTGTCACATCATTATCATTTATAATTTAAGTATATAATTACTGATAATGTGATTATTAGTATTCTAATTGTATCATTTTTTATCATTATCATTATCATAATCACTATCATTATTAGTATCATTATTACTATTATTAGCATTATCATTATCTTCATCATCATTATTATCATTATTATTATTATTAGTATTAGCATTGTCATAAATTTCATCAGTATTAGTATCCTTATCATCATTAGTATCTTTATCCTATCATCAAGACAATTACTCAAATCCATTAATAATAATAATAATAATAATAATAATAATAATATAATAATAATAATAATAAAGTTATCTATTAAAAAGATTGCTGGACGTGGTCTATCTTGCGTGAAATAGAAAACGGAACTTAAAGAAACGGGAGGAAAAACTTAAAGAAAACGGGATTCTTGCATGAAATAGAAAACGGGACATAAGGAAAATGGGATTCTTCACCCTGTTCCAAATAATGGCATAAAATCAATATATTAAAAAGAATACATATGTTGTATTAGCGTAACTTGTACCTTCTATAGGTCTTTGGAATCAAGTTATATGTTTCACTGTAGACAATCTAACCTGGGTTTGCAATCTGTAATGTACAGAATGAACATTTCTTTTGAGTAAAATAATGTGAACATTCAAAAAATCATACACACATCAATAAATAAATAAATATATATCTTCACACACACACACACACACACACACACACACATGCAGACATACACACAACACACACATACATACAACACACACACACACACACACACACACACACACACACACACACACACACACACACACACACACACACACACACACACACACACACACACACACATATTATCCATACTATGAGAAAATCTAAGATGCTTTTAAATATTAGAAGAAAACTGAAACTACAAAATAAAAGGGGATACTTAGGTAAACTTGTCCGAATTTTCGCTCTAAACACTGTAATAAAACAACCAATGTTATGGTTCCATTAATAATAGAATAATGAGGTGTATACATTTCAAAATGCATTCAAATAACATCTTGAAAGCAAGACGAATTTTAGAGAATGTAATATAACCCATCGTAAAAAACATATGGCCAAAAATATGTAAATGAAATGACAGTTCAAAATAATGATTTGTATATGGCTGTATAGACAAAGGCTTGGGCAATTTAGGTCAACGAAATAAAAACTTTTGAAAGTATTTTCTGAGAATTTTACGTCAGCCTAAGAAAAATAAAGTAAAGAAATAGAAAAAAAACGACAATGATAAAACAAAGAAAGACGATAATAATTATAACAACAATAATAATAATTGATCTAACGTGGATATAATGATAATAATGATAATGATAATGATAGCATTTTTATTAGTAATATTAGTAATATTACTAAGAAATATAAAATGATAAGGATAATAATGACAGTATTGATAGTAACAATAGTAATGATAATAATGATAATACTAATATTAATAATAATGATACTCATTATCATTATCATTACTATTATAACAATAACAATAATGGTGATGATATTAATGATAAAGGAGATAATAATGAGAATAATCGCAATAATAATAATTGTAATAATATTGATTATTTTGATAATGATAATAACAACAATATAATCATTATGATAATGAGAATGATAATAAGTATAGTAACAATAATAATAATGACAATAATCATATCAGATATAATGATAAAAATGATAATGATAATAATAGTGATGAGAACAACAATTACGATGATAACGATAATAACAGTAATTATAATAACTAAAACAGCAGTAATAAGAAAATAACAATGATATGCATATATACATACATACATACACACGCATATATATATATATATATATATATATATATATATATATATATATATATATATATATATATATATATATATACATATATACATATATATTTACATATATATGCACACACACACACACACACACACACACACACACACACACACATATAGACAGGTAGATATAGATATAAACAGATGAACAGTAGTATACATGTATACAAAAACTATACCACAATATTTGCAAATTCATAAACAACAAACTAAGTTTTGGTTGGAATCTGACTGTGGCCGCCTACGCTTAATATCATTCAGACGAATCTTATTTCTGAATGAAAAGATTAAAAAAAAAAAACAAGGTTAAATATCGCTAAATCCTAGTTAAAAAAGATAGGAGTTTAGGGTCCTACTTCTTAAATAAGAAAGTTGAACATACAAAAAAAAAAAAATTAAATGCAGTTTTAATTGATAAATTATTATACATGATCAAGTGATTATAAGTATCTAGTGTACTAACTTTGGTTTTATTATGTTTATCATCTTCAAAAGATTTTATTGATATGTATGTAGATTGCTAAACAAATAAACAAGTAAACATATTTAATACAAATATATAGTATTCTCTCTCTCTCTCTCTCTCCTCTCTCTCTCTCTCTCTCTCTCTCTCTCTCTCTCTCTCTCTCTTCTCTCTATATATATAGTATATATATATATATATATATATATATATATATATATATATATATATATATATATATATACATATCATGCACATCTATCTATCTACCTATCTATCTATCTATCCATCATCCATCTACCTATCATCTACCTATCTATCTATCTGTCTATTTCTCCATCCATCCATCCATCCATCCATCTCTCTCTCTCTCTATCTATCTATTCTATCTATCTATCCATCTATCTATCTATATCTATCTCTCCATCCATCCATTCATCTCTTCCTCTCTATCCATCCATCCATCCATCCATCTATCTCTTTATCTATATTACATGCATATATTTGCTTTTAATTGAATAACAAAACAAGGAAGAGAGAGAAAACATATTTATATTCCTTTACCGCGCCTGTTACAGTTATTACATCACCCACAACAATAGTCAAGATATTAAGAGAAAGAAACATACAAATACGCACCGAGTGGGAAAAAAGAGGAAGTGAGAGTATTATAACAGCATCGTGTGGATTCCCTGTTCCTCATTACCATTGGTGCTGTGCTGGTGTCGTGTCCTGTGAGGGAGGAATTTACCAAAGAATTGAAATTATGAAGGAAACTACACTTATGGCCGGCTTGTTGACGGTGAGTCCTCAGTCGCAGTGAATTAATATACTGTTGACGTACATTTAATGAATCGGTGTCTACGATTAAAATTTTGGGTATTTATCATACAGAAAAATACACACAAATTGTTATATGAAGGGAATCTACCCAAATATTACTTGAGGGATATTAAAGTAACCGGAGAGAGTGCTGTGTGTTGTGGGGTAGTTATTGTATTGTGTTTCTACGTGTTTCGGTGATGTGTCCTAGAAAGATTGTAATATTTTCTTGCATGTATGAAATTTTGATAATTATTCCTCCTATCTGTAAGTTGTTCATTTTTTATACATCGTCTTGGGGAGTTAACGCAGAGAGGTAACATAAAACTTTGTGTATAGCCTTTCAAATTTGTTTTATGTGTGTCAACCTTTTTGTATATGTGTGTATGTTAGATTATATACCTATTGTGATAATTTATATATTATATATATCCAACCATTGATTATATATATGTTTAACTACCTAACTTCCTGTCTATCTATATACATATCTATTCATAACCTACAATCATCTATCTTTCTCTCTCTCTATAGATTTGTATGTGTACATAACTAGCTAACTAGATCCACACACACACACACACACACACGCACACATATATTCAATATATATGCTTGCGTGTGTGTGTGTGTATAATGTGTGTGTGTATGTGTTTGGTAGTGTATATTACGATGGTAATAGTAGTAATAGTAATAATAACCATAAGAGTGATGATAATGATAATAATAATAATAATAGCTATAATGATAATAATAATAGCTATAATGATAATGATAATAATAATAGCTATAATGATAATAATAAATGATAACAGTAATAATAACAATAATAGTTATAATGAAAATAATTATTGTAATTATTGTAATGTATTGATGATAACAACGATGATGATAGTAATGATAATAATAATGATCATAACAATAATGATTTTCACTATTATCATTATATCCATTATTATTGCTATTGTTATTCTCACTACTATCATTATCATAATCATTTTCATTCTTCCTCTTATTATCATCATCATCATTATTATTATTATTATTGTTATTATTATTATTATTATTATTATTATTATTATTATTATTATTATTATTATTATTATTATTATTATCATTATTGTTATTATCAATGATAATGATGATGATGATAATGGTAATAACAATAATGATGATGGTAAAGATAATAAGAATATTTATTATTGTATAATTGCTATCATCATTATTGTCAATATCATTATTACTGTTATTATTACTATTAGTATTAGTATTTGTAGTAGTATTACTATTATCATAACTGTTTTTATTCTTCTTCTTGTCATTGCTATTATCATCATCATCATCATTATTATTATCATCATCATTACTATTATTATCATAATTGTTACTACTGCAATTATCAATACAATAATTATTGCATTATTTATTATTTTCATTATTATTAATATTATCATTTTTATTTTTCTCATCATTGACATGATAATAGTTTTCATTATTATTATTATTATTATTATTATTATTATTATTATTATTATTATTATTATTATTATTATTATTATTATTATTATTATCATTATCATTATCATTATTACTATTATTATTATCAATACTATCTTATTATCATTGTCATTATTATCATTATCACTACTAGATTATTATTAGTAGTATTACGATTATTATTCTCATTATCATCATTATTATTATCTTTACTATCATTATTGTCATTATTATTATTATTATTATTATCATTAACATCTCTCTCTCTCTCTCTCTCTCTCTCTCTCTCTCTCTCTCTCTCTCTCTCTCTCTCTCTCTCTCTCTCTCTCTCTCTCTCTCTCTCTCTCTCTCTCTCTCTCTCTCTCTCTCTCTCTCTCTCTCTCTCTCTCTCTCTCTCTCTCTCTCTCTCTCTCTCTCTCTCTCTCTTCTCTCTCTCTCTCTCTCTCTCTTCCTTCTTCCCTCCATCCCTCCCTCCTCTCCTACTCTACTCTCACTTCTTTCCTTTCTGTTTCTCTACTTCCATTATTCTTTTTCTCTTCCCCTTCCTCCTTTTTCTTCTGTCCTCTGTCTTCTCCTTTCCTTCTCCCCTCCTCTTCCTTCTCTTCTCCTTTCCTTCTTTCTATTTCTCCTCCCCTTCTTCCCTTCTCTTCTCTCCCCGTCCTCCCTCTTTCTCCTCCCTCCTCTCCCTTCCATCCTCCTCTCCTCCTCCTCCTTCCTATTCCTTCTCCCCTTCCCTCCTCCTCTCTCTTCCTCCATTTTCTCCTATCTTCTGCCCTCGCCTTCCCCCCCCTTTTCCTCCCTTCCTTCTACTTTCTCCCATTCCTTTCTCTCCCTCCCCCTCCTTCCCTCTGCTCTTTCTCT